CAAAAGAGTTATGCCAACCGTAAAGTTCGTGATATTGCATTCATGGTTGGAGAAAGAATATTGCTCCGGGTCTCACCTATGAAAGGTGTAATGAGGTTCGGAAAGAAGGGCAAGTTGAGCCCTAGGTATATCGGACCCTTTGAAATTTTTGAAAGGGTGGGTGAAGTAGCCTACATGCTTGCATTACCACCTAGTTTATCAGCGGTTCATCCGGTGTTCCATGTGTCTATGCTCCGGAAATATCATGGTGATCCGTCCCATGTGTAAGATTTCAGCTCAGTCCAATTGGACAAAGATTTGACTTACGAGGAGGAGCTGGTGGCTATTCTAGCCCGACAGGTCCGACAGTTGAGGTCTAAGAGTTATCCTTCAGTTCGAGTGCAATGGAGAGTTCAGCCGGTAGAGGTATCTACCTGGGAGTCTGAGTCGGACATGTAGAGTAAATATCCACACTTATTCACCAGCTCAGGTACTTTTTCTAACTCTGTTCGAGGACGAACGTTTGTTTTAAAGGTGGAGAATGTGATGACCCAAAATATCATCTTTAAATTTAATAAGTAATTTTGTGTTCTAAGACCTCGAAAAGCACTATTTATCATTTCTCGACTTGCGTGCGTAGTCCGTACAATTTTCCAAAAAATTTTTATGTGAAAAATAGATTAAAATGTGAAATAGAGCTTTAAACCTCAACTGAGTTGACTTGGTCAACATTTTTAGCAAACGGTGTTTTGATAATTCCGGTAGCTCCGTATCATAATTTGGGACTTGGGCGTATGCCCGGGATTTAATTTGGAGGTCCCTAGCTCAAGTTATGATCATTTAACGGAACTAGCAATATAAAGGCTAAAGATTTTCAAGTTTGACCACGGGGTTGACTTTTTGATATCAGAGCCATAATCCGATTCTAAAAATTTGAATAGCTCCGTTATGTCATTTAGGACTTGTGTGCCAAATTTAAAGTCATTCCGAATTCATTTAATATGGTTTGGCACGAGATTTGCAAATGGAAACGTTTAAAACTCAAAGTTCGAATCGGGGTATGAATTGAAATTTCAGCGTTGTTTGACGTGATTTTTGACCCCGAGTAAGTCCGTATTATGTTTCTGGACTTGTTGGTATATTCGGATGGGGTCCCGAGTACCCCGAGTGTGATTCGAATCGAAATCAGAACAAGAATTGGACTTAAGCAAAATCTGAAATTTTGCCTTCTGTTGTAATCGCACTTGCGGATTTTTGATCGTAGGTGCGAGCTCGCAAAAGCGAGCCTTCCATCACAGAAGTGGCCTGGGTAGGCTGGGCAAAGGTCCGCAGGTGCGGAAACTGACACGCACCCGCGCGTCCACAGAAGCGGACTTGGCAATCGCAGAAGCGGAAGGCAACGCAAGTGCGCATTTTTCCTCCGCAGGTGCGAGGCCTCGCCTGGCAGCCCCATTTCGTAGAAACGAGATTTTTCTCGTAGATGCGAGTTCGCATGTGCGAGCCCAGGCACCGTAGGTGCGGAAATGCCTGGGCGGTGTATATATCGAAGAGTCCGATATTAGTTTCACATTTTGGTCGTTTTGAGTTCGGTTAAGATGGATTTTTGGGCGATTTTCACGGGAAACATTGAGGTAAGTGTTCCTTATCATATATTAATTATATTTCATGATTCCATACTCGTTTATATTATGAATCCGTGAATTTATGGAAGAAAAATCAAAATTTTCTAAAATCTTCCAAAAACAAAAAATTTAGATTTGAAGGTCCATTTGATATCGGAATTGGATAATTTTTGTATGGTTGAACTCGTAGCAGAACGGGTATTCGGATTTCATGAGTTTTTTCGGGATTTGAGGCGTGGGTCCCACTGTCGAATATTTTAATAAATTTCGGATTTTTATCCAGAAAATTAGTAAATTCATATGGAATTAATTCCTATGATTCGTATTGAGTATATTGAATTGTTTATGAATAGTTTTGAAGCTTTTGGAGACAAATTTAAAAGAAAAAGTTGTGGTCGAGTAATTGATTGGAATTTGCAAAGCGAGATAAGTGTCGTGGTTAACCTTGACTTGAGGGAATAGAACCCTTAAATTATTTGTTATGTGAATTGTATGTGAACGATGTATAGGCGAGGTGACGAGTGTCTATACGTCATCAAATTAATTATTTGCCTACTTACTTGAAAATCATAAATTGTTTTAAATTATGAATTAATTATTATAATAATTATTTTTCTCCTATTCTTTGTCAAATATTAATTCTTGAATTTCTGCATTAATTGTTACATGCTATTTGAATTATGTGTTTTAATTGTTATTTGACATTTAGCATATTAAATATTAAACTGCCTATTTTCTCCCTGATTTCCATAATAATTTGCAATTTGTCATTGTTTGTTTTGTAATTAAATCATAATTATTGTATACTTGTTGTCTTATAATTTTATATTAATTATTGTATTTACTGGGGAAATTTCTTCTATAAGAATTGGTAAATGGATATAATGGATGATCAGGTTGCACGCCGCAGCAGACTTATTAAAAGTCAATATTAGGGGATCGGATTGCATGCCGTAATAGACTTATCTAAAAGTCAATATTGGGGGATCGGATTGCACGCCGCAACAGACTTATTAAGAAGTCCATATTGGAGGATCGGGTTGCACGCCGCAACAGACTTATTAAAAGTCAATATTGGGGGATCGGATTGCACGCCGCAATAGACTTATTTAAAAGTCAATATATATACTTGATTAAAAAATAATTATATGAGAGGATTGAAAATGAATATATTGTGAAAGCGGGTTGCACGCTGCAACATAATTGAATGTGAATATATGTGAGAGCGGGTTGCACGTTGCAACAGATTTGATGGAAATGATAATTGGTTATGACTGCTGAATTGACTTCAATTATTATAAATGAGTTACCTGATTTATTTATATTATTTATTGTTGTTACTAATATTGCGTACATGTTAATGTAAGTGACCCGCCTTAGCCTCGTCATTATTTCGTCGAGGTTAGGCTCAGCATTTACCAGTACATGGGGTCGGTTGTACTGATACTACACTCTGCACTTCTTGTGCAGATTTTGGAGTTGGTCCTAGCGGCGTACCATAGACTTGCTCGGATTTCAGCTACTCAGAGGAGACTTGAGGTATAATTGCACGGCGTTCGCAGTTCTGAAGTCCCCGTCCACTTTACTTTAGCTGTGTGTTTGTTTTCAGACAGCTTTATTTTATTTAGACATTTATTTATATTTATTCTAGAAGCTCATGCACTTGTGACACCAATTCTGGGATGGTATTTAGACAGCGTTGTTTTTATGGATTATTTACTATATTTTAGACTTTACTTCCGCATTTGTTCTTTGTTATTAATAAATTCAAAAATTATTTTAAAAATGGATAATATTATTCTAACGTTGGCTTGACTAGCAAGTGAAATGTTAGGCGCCATCACGGTCCGAAGATGGGAATTTCGGGTCGTGACACATAAACACATGAAGTGCTTCTGCAAATAATAACAATAACAATTAGTACTAGCTCAATATATAAGCATTGCCTTTGCTACAATCTTTACATCTCCAAATCACCATAGCTTTTCTTTTCATTGTGTAATGTTTGTAATAACAAATACAAAGAGGGAAAGACAAAAAGACATTTTGTGATAGTGTAAATCATATAATTTCAATAAAATTTGTTAAACTATATTGTGAAGGTTCTGATCGCCCCTAATTTTTTTCTAAAAGATATTTTAATTGATTTAAATTTTAATTTGCAAGAGTTTCCCATCCGTAAAATATTTGCAGCTAATTGATTATAGTAGTCCATTGAAAAACTCCCACGTTGACTGCGAGACACTTCATTGCGGAGATTTTAGAAATCAACGTGCTAACAAATTGTAAGTTTTTTTTTTATCAACGGAAATCATAGATATACCTCTCTTCCAGAAAAAAACTTCTTCTTTATAGTAGTAAAAATATGTTTTTGTTTCAACAGTAGTAAAAACATGTTTAAAACAAGACAAATGAGCTTTGTAAATGAAGTTAGGCTTTTGTTAATATATTAACGTTAAATACATATTCTCAGTAAGCTTATATTGCTCCATAAATTGGTTCGTTAATAGAAGTAGAGCTTTACTAATATACTTTATAATAGTTTTTAACGTTTGACGATGTCAGATAATTATACGAAGTTTGAGCAAAAATATTCAAACCAGTGTACTTCGAGTTTAGCATTAAATTAACGATCTAGTCAACAATGTTAAAGCTATAACTCACTGTAGCAATTATTCATAAGATATACGATTCTTTAATTTGATTTAATTTAATTTAATTTATTTTATGTATAAGTACACACTATAATTTTTTAAAATGTTTTCATAAATAGCTTTTGAAAATTGACTAATATTTAGTTATTCATGTAACGTTTATTATTGATTGAATCTCTTACCCTAATTTTGCACGATTTGTCGGCATACAATTATAAATTCGCATCAAAATAAGGAACTTTTTATTATTATTTACCTACTAATGTCCGTTTTAAATTAATTGCATCTTATCGTTTTACATTTGTCCACATTTACCTTATATTCAAAAAAGAAAAAGAAAAGCTCACGTTAGCTATTAGAAAAGAAAAAGGTAACCTATTTTTCTCTATTTGTCCACTTTTATGATCACGTAAACCACATTTTTGGAGGGAAAATTTTAAAAGACCAAACAATTATTCCTATACTATAAGATGCCATTCGATTGTTCAGAAATTTAAATTGCAAAAATATTTAAAAGGTGGGCTCCACCTGCTACGTCAACGTGTCAGTATGTAATTGGAGAGCCACGCAATTTCTTCCACGGCCCTTCTGAAAATGTACCAATCGAAATACAAGCTCCGAACCTCAGATTTGGATCCAAACCAAACCGAAGCTTAGCCTCGGTCCGAACCTAACCTCGCTCCACAGTAGTTCGTTGAAAATTTCGCACTATTTTCGATCACTTTATCTCTCTCTCTCTCTCTCTCTCTCTCTCTCTCTCTCTCTCTCATCAGCTCGTTTTTTCTCTCTCCTCGCAGCTACCATTTCCTATCGTCGATTGAAAAACCCTAGAATTCGAATACTCTAAGGATCCAAGCTCCATTGGTGTCAGCTTCAACATTTGCGTGAGTTTAATTTATGAATTTATCTTCAAATACTGTTATAAAACCCTAGTTTTCTCTATGCATGCACCAAATGTTTTGCATTCGATGGACACATTTAGTGCTGGATTTTCGGTGTTTTGAGGCTCTAGTACAGTAAATTTGAAGCTTATGCTACCATTTTGTTCTTAATTGTTAGGTCAATTTGTGTTTTTTTTAATGACAATGGTGTCCGGCCCAGCTTGCACTCAGTTAGATTATTTCACTGCTACCTCCTAGTAGCAAACATAACGAGTAACTCTGCCCACTAAGGCTTAGACAGATGTGAAAAAATCACCTAGTTTTTTTTGTCTTTTCTAGAATTTGAACCTTGGTCTCCCGTGCTTTTCACTGCATTGACTGCTATGCCACACCCTTGGGTGCTTAAGTAAATCACTATGTATTTATGTTTTTGAGATTTTTTAGATGATGCTAGTAGTTGTAAAAAAATTGTGCCTTTTTAACCAAAATGCTCCCCCTCCCCCCCAACCAAAAAAAAAAGAGAAGCTTTTTTAGGTTTTTGACAGAGTGTGATTAGCATTTAGCAATATGTTGCCCCTTCTAACGCAATGTGAATGGATGCTTATCGGCTTTCGGCTCCATTTTTGTAGATTATGTGGGCATTGAATTTGGAATCTGTCTTTTAAATTTCTATGTATAGTTTTATGTTGATTTTGCTTTGGAATTATCATTCTTGGAACAGAATGAGTCGGAAGAACTCTGATGTGAGAATTCTCAAATGTTCTCCGAATTCTGAATGGTTTTAAAAAAAAACTACTCTTTTAGCTAGACAAGAAGTCCGCCAGTGGAATTAGTGGCTAGATTTACTTAGTTTGTTGTGCGAGGACTCGTCTCATCCATTATTTATATCTTCAAGCTACTCTTTTCTGTCTTTACCCCAACCCCCATGAGTTCCACTTTATTCTCTAGTGTCTAGATTTAAACTTGATGTTTTGAACAGAAGTTGTGATAGGAAAAAGACGTACTATATTCTTGTAGATATAAACGTGAAGAGTCAATTAGCACAAGAGGAGGTTGTTTTTGCATCTTGTAACTTTTTGTGTTACCACTAGTCTGGATAAGCATTAAGAAAGGTTATTAAGAGAACATCATCGTGCAATGCCATTAAAACAATGCATAGCACTGTTTAGTATGTTACATGGACAAGGGTGCGGATCTCTAATGCAGATTTATCAGCACTTATTCACGTAACTGTTAAGATTCGAGAGTATGGATAGAAGTATGGGTACCTGTGCTGAGATATTGGTAATAGATGTATGCTATTATTTGCCCATACATGCACACAGTATATACACAGTTAACATATTAGGAATGGTAATTAATTGAAAAGCATAGTTATTTATTAGGAGTAGTAATGAATTGAAAACACTAGACCAAACAAGTGTCGATAGTTTCTTTTCACAGTACCTAATATTGCATTCCATTAGTACATCTCACGCAATAGCAACAATGAAACTAAAAAACCCAATCAACCGAAGCTTCTTGGCTAGGGTCGTTAGCAATGCACACTAAGTAAATTGAGCAAATCTGGTGCATATGCCACATGACTGCCAAATCTTATCGGATAGACGCTTGGTGGGGAAGCAGGTTTTGGAAGATTCTTGTAACATAGCTGTTAATTTGATACTCGTTTTCTTGGAATAACTTATGGTTCTTACATTCTTTGCTAGTTGTAATTTTTTCCTGTAGATATGGATTCAGATATTTATTTGCTTTCAATCCGTTTCAGCATATGTCTAGTAACGGACAGCTGCATATAGAATTAAGCAGAGGTACTGGTAGTTATATTTATGTTATTAGATGTGTGCTTTCACGCTTCAGAAAGCGATTTGGAGTCTTTGAGTCGAGGAAGTAGTTAAATTTAGATTGATCTATGTGAACTTCTTCCTGCAGGAGTTGGTGTTTGTCAATTTTTGAAGGAAATGTTTTACTTTCCAATTTAGTGAAGACACTCTGAAGAACTTTTTATTGTTCTCTGTTGCTATGTTTGGCGATTTATACATTGTTTAAATTTTTAACCCTGTAATGCATTGGAGTAAGCTGCATTCTGTTGATTCATATGATTTTTGAAAGTAAAAGAGGTAGCTGGTAACTGCAAAGGAAAGTAAGTTGTTTGATAGATAGTAGAGAGAATTTTTGGTGCAAGGAACAGATAGTTGGGGAGGTGTGACAGCTTGTTGATTTCCTGGAAACTATGTACTGAGAGTTATTTTGTTGAAGTTGTAATTCTCCCTTTTTGAATTTTTGCAGTACCTTCTTGGTACTAGCTTTAATAAAATATCATTTATAGAGAAGAAGAAGAAGTAGAGCGAAGGGATCCTGAAGTTGCTTTCTTTTTGTTAACTCGCAATGATAGCACTGAAAGTCTATGAGAAAAGATTAGTTAGAGACTACCAAAAGGATCCTCAATGTTCTTTTGTTTATGTTGTACTTTAATACACCCAAAGGAAAGAACAATTTCATCATTGTTGCTAGTGAAGGTAATCATAGTGTGGGAACGTAGAAGTCTAAAGCTGACTTTTTGCTTTGCGTTGCTTCTTTTCATGGTTCGTCTTCCCCAAGTTTATCAACATCCGGCCAAAGTGGAAACACTTAAAGTAATTTTGTTTTGTGGATATGCAAATGTTTTGGGGAGATGAACATGTGCATTTTACTGAGGTCGAGTCGGTATTATCCTGCCTTTTGTGAGATAACATGTTAGAGAGTTCCACACTGTCTGCTGCCCACATAAAATAATATATTGATTGTTGTATTATGCTAGTATTAGGAATGGAAAGTTTAATACTGTCAACCAAATACTGCATTAGTTATACAGAGTTTAATACCATCAACCAAATGCTGCATTAGTTATGTGGAAGTTATTTTTTCTTATTCAACCAACTAAACGTTATACCACTTATTCCCAGTTCAAAAAAATCATTATACTACTTATCTGGAATTTTATGTTGGATTGTTCTTGTTTATTGTGGCCAACCAAGCAACTCCTTAGTGATGTGCTTGACATTTAATACACTCCCTCAAACTCAAGGTGATGAAACAACTTGAGTTTGCAACTCTAAACTATGAAGTGCTGCTGGAAATAAATTGACTTTGGCACTGAGACAAAACTAACTTAGCAGTGTACCATTGATAGCGGTGCTATTGATCACTACTCTGGTATGACTACCATTTTCTCTTCACTTAACCCAGCAACAACATGAGAATGCCTTGACTGTGTTTTGCTGTGAATCCATCAGAATGATTGCATGTCGTGAGCTTGACTAAGTTGATAATGACAAACAAGATGCTAATGTGACAACTTGCTGGCATTCCACACTGCTGACTAAGTAATGGTTTGTCAATGACATGACGCTAATCTGGAATTGACAGGTCAATTGACATAAACGACTAACTTGAGATGGTAGCTGTCATTGATTGATCAGTAGATAAATGTAGAGCTAGACAAATGTTGAGCCCTGACTTGACTGGTTAGTTGATGTGAACTGATAACATTAGTCCTAGACAGATGTGGACCCCAACTTGATAGTTTAGCCAATATGGTCAGAAAATTTGGCATTGCATTGGGCGCTGGCATATGGGAGTGTTGTCTACAGGGTGGAAACAACTTAAATTTGTACAGGATTGGCACGATACCATATGAAAAAAAGAGAAAAAAGGAGAAAAACTTTGTGGATCTGGTTATTGACAACAAACAAGAGGACTCATTTTAAAGAACTTTTGAGCTACATGAAATAAGGAAAGTTTTTAAGTTTTTGGGATTCCTAATTATTATGACATAATCATTATGAATGTTCTACACAATTTTTAATTACTCTTAACTTTCAACTATGACGAAATTTATGATGAATCTCTCGACTTTTACAACGACATAATCAATAGAAATTTCTACATAGTATTATTGATGATTCTCTCGACTCTTGACTAGTGTTATCAAAGGCGAAAACGCAAAAAAGCTCTAAGGTTTGTTGGGGCTTTAAGTGCAAAATGCAAATAAAGCGTGGGATTTAAAGAAGAAAGGCGCAAACAGAGAAAAACTACAAATATGTATGTGTAATCTAAGACTAATATCTATAAGGAAAAATATGGACAAAGAAATTGAAGAAAATTTACGATAAAGTGAAATATCAATGGTTTAGAGTTGCTTCTTCACGATAATGCTCAAGGAAAAGTATGCCTTAGAACCTTGATGACAACACTATAGCGCGTGCTAAGCGAGGCGATGCGCTCAACACATTTTGAGCCTCGCTTCTGGGCTTAAGCGCGCCTTTGATAACACTGCTCTTGACAGGGAATAAGGACCCTGCATAATCATTTTTTAGTTGCTAATTAACTACTATTTGTTGGATCCAATTTAACTGCCTTGTTTGCAACAAGCTAGGATCTCTCTGGTGAAGATTCTTCATATTGATTTTCTCAATTGAAATATGCTTACTTGAAAAAACAAATTGGTGGCAAAGAGCTATTAGTAGGGAAACCAGTATAAAAAATTCTAGCTACTACCAATTTAGTCATGTAGTAAGAAGTTCAAGTAGTTCCGATAAAGCATTACAAGCACAAAACATATGTTTGCTCCAAGAAAATCTTGGTGCTTAGGATTCTGATCCAACTGGAGCATATTAGGCATGAGTGGGGCACAAGTTAAGATAGCTGAAGAGTCCTGCAACGAATGGTTTATAGGGGTTTTGCTGAGGTGGTAGTGCTATGATGTGGGAGGGGCATACTGTAATATGGGGATTTTGATTAGTAATTGATTGTCCACGCATGGTGAAAACAGCAACAGGGGTCAATATTTTATGGTTCTAATGGTATTAAGTGTAGTGATAATATTTGGTACTGAGCAAATAAGAAAAACGCATCACCACTAAGATTTTATTCAATAGACCAAAAACCTGTTACGGTGCTCTGCAGGCCGTCGAACTTGCACATGCAGATCCTAAGGTCGCATGCCCAAAAATTTATGTTGTGTCCGCTGTCCAGCATTGAAGCTGGGATCTTATTCGAGTAAAATATTAGAGCTTCAATGCCTTGCCCTCCCATTGAGTGTGAACATCCATAAGTAATTGGTTATGCCCTCTCTTTCATTTTTCTGATAAGGATTATGCCCTCGTTTTCATATTGCTCGTGTAGATGGTATCTTTGTGTTCATATCATATTTACTTATTCATTGAAATAGTACCATCAAAAGTGTGAACATACAATTATTACTGCATGCCACTTTCTGGTAATCTCAAATAACATCTATTGACAACTATTGTTCAGCACTGTTGATAGCAAAAAGCACTATGAGTGTTTCAACTTGACCTAACTACACTTGAATGATCTTCTTGCAGGAGTTTGAGGCAGCCATTCTTAACTTATAAGAGAATAGTGACCAGGTGACTGTCTAAATGCTGGATTGTACATCAGTTGCTATGTGAGGTTGTGAATTAATTGATATTCATTGATATATTTCTATGTTAGTAACCACGTAGCAACATTTAACAATCAAAGACTTCGGAGTTAAATCATCTATGCCTGGCAACGATGTTGGAGATAGGGTTCACAATTTCTTTGCACAAGACAGCTTGTCACAAGAGCAGCATCGTTCCCCAGTAGTGGAGGGAAATTGGCCAGCTCATAGTAACAATCTGTGGGTTGGAAGTCAGAGACAGATAGGTGTACTGACTCCCAACACAAAGAATTACAATTTACAGAACTCTGGTAATTTGACATGTCATGTTTCTCTAAACTATTATTTGATAGCTATATCTCAGTCTGTTAGTTATTCTCTTACATTTCCTGCATTTGCAGATAGTGGGAAAGGGCCGAGCAGCTACCCTTTTACCAGCCAGCATGGCTTGAATTTTATGCAATCCACTCCAAGGCCTGAGTTTGCAAAGAGCCAGTCACAAAATCAGCAGGCAAATTTGAATGGTTACATGTATAGTGATCAGTTTCACCAGACAAGGCAGGATGAAGCAAAATTTCTCTCTATCGATACAGGTTATGATCAACGTAGTCTAGCCTCAGGAGGCCTATCTCCTTATGCATCACAGCAAGGAGTAGGTCCAGAGCAGCAGGCAAGAGTACCAGTTAGGTCAGAACCTTCTGAGAGTCCTGCTAGTTTTGATCTTTTTGGTGGTCAGCAAATGAATCGTCAGCAATCAAACATGCTGCAGTCTCTGCAGCGGCAGCAGTCTGGGCATAGTGACATGCAGCAAATGCAACTCATGTTGAAGATGCAAGAACTTCAGAGGCAGCACCAACTTCAGCAATTAGATGCCAGGAAGCAAAATACACTAAATCAGGCATCTGGTAGCCATCCCCCTGCATTGGTTCATGACACTACAAATTCTGGTGCATTAAATTATCCTTGGGCAAGTGATCTTGGAAACACAAATTGGTTGCAACGTGGTTCTCCAATCATTCAGGGATGTTCCAATGGACTCAATCCAACCAACATTGGACAAGCACAACAGTTAATGGGTTTGATTCCTCCATCAGCGGACCAATCTCTATATGGAGTTCCTGTTTCTGGTTCAAGAGGAAGTGTGAACCCATTTTCACAAGTAATTGATAAGCCCACAACGCGTCCAATGCCGACCTTTGATAGTTCATTTCCGGGTAATCAATATGCTGCATTGCCGGATCAAGTCAGTGGGCAGGATGGGACTTTCATTCCTAGACAGAGATCCCAAGGCGGCCATTTTCTCGGACATGCTTCAAGTCAAGCCCTGACTAACCCGATAAATATGGAGAACCCTCAACAAGCAAATATTATGCAGAACAGTTCAGCTTTCCAGGACTTTTGTGGCAGACAGGGTCTGGCTGTTCCTCCAGAAAACTCACAGGAACTAGCAGGGGCACATGCTTCTTCCTTGCAGAATGAAGTCGCCTTAGATCCTACAGAAGAAAGAATATTGTTTGGTTCAGAGGATAATATGTGGGCAGCCTTTGGCAAGAGCCCTGATATGAATGGGGAAGGTGGTAATTCATTTGATGGTGCAGGTTTATTGAATGGTACTTGGAGTGCACTTATGCATTCTGCTGTTGCAGAAACTTCTAGCAGTGACCTTGGGGTACAGGAGGAGTGGAGTGGTTTAAATTTTCACAGTACGGAAATTCCTTCAGAAACTCAGAATTTGATGTATAACAGTGGGAGACATAAAACATCTGCTGCTGAGGAAAAGTTGCCCCCAAACTCATCCTTGAATTCTGTTTCTGTTCAGCCCTCTGATAGCACCAATGTGAACAATAACTATTCCGATGTCCAAGGCCACAGGCTCCCATATGAGCCAGGCCAGAGTTTGCATGCCAACTCTTCTCAAAGACTTGTCCAGTCATCGGAGGAAGGAAGCAAGTTGTCAAATTTCGGTCCACGGCAGAAGTCAGTTGTTGAAGTAAGCCAGATGATGTTTGGGAGTGCTTCACATCCTATTGACAGCGAAATAAATGCGAGAAAGATTTCTGGTTCTTTGACACCTGAGATTGGTGGAGCTAGACAACTATGCTACAAATCTGCTGGTTGGAGTGACGTAGGATCAGCAGTGCCCTCTGGAGATGCAGCTTTAAGAGTTTCAAGTGAGAATTCGTCAAGTCGTTCCCAGGATGACAATCGGAAGAAATTCATCCAAGCTGAAGTTGTTCAAGGTGGTGTGACATGGAACTCTAACTCTGGCCATAATTCTGCAGTTGATATGGAGCATGCAGGATCATCTATCGCAAATCACCAAGTGAATTCGGAGGTCTTTAACTTGCATAATTCTGGCTCTGCACCCAAGTCAAGTACCATGAGGGGTGGCGAAGAAACCAGTCAACTGCAAAATAATTATCATTCTGATTATTGGAAGAACAATGATTCCTTTGTCAAGTCTACAGTAAGCAAAGCCTTGGGAGCTTTACAGCGTCATGTTACCAAAGACAATCAGGTCTTGCACTCTTCGAGGGGTATTAGTGACATAGAAGTCAAAATGCATGGGCTGCAGAACAGCGATAAGAAGAACTCGAATGACAGCTACCGCTCTAACTTATTCCCTCCTTCTGCTGCGATGAGGGAAAATTTCTTGTCAGATGCGAGTGATTCAAGGTGTCTTCCTACTAAGCAGAAGTCGTCTGATCAGGTTGGACAGAAAAATTCTTGGGTTCGCAAGTTTCAGTATCATCCCATGGGAAACATGGATGAGGATTTGGATCCTGCTTATGACAGGAAACAGCCTAGTCATTCTCAGTCTATGCTGCAGCACAATGCCAATCATGGCCAGTTGGAAGTATTTGGTCAGGTTCCCAAGAGTCAGACAGAAGTGGAAGAGGTGATATATGTGCTTCACATAATACATTTTTTGAATCTTACATATCTTTGGTCATTAAATAAAAGGTAGTGTTCCTTAATATACAGGGGCAGCCGTCTAATGGTCTGAGAGATGGCAAAGGTTTTAGTGAGGTGCATTCGCGAAGCAGCTTCCAGAGTGGTGGATCTAGTATGCTTGGCCGCTTCAATAGATCAGATTTATATTCACCAAATACAGCTGCACAAACTAGGTAGTTAATTTCCTGATACTCTTAACTATTTACTTAATCATGCTCTTAGGTAAATCTCTAAAGATCATAGAAGAGTTAGAAGTTCTTCTGCTCATTATTCCACATATTTCTTAGTGGCCTTGTTGACTGCCATGTTCTGCTGTAAAAACTGTTCCAGTGCAGTTTGTGTTCTATTGTTTGATTGTTTTTCTGGTTGCAGTCCAAACATGCTCCAGCTTCTTCCGAAGGTAGACCAATCAAGCGTGCGTGGTTCTATGACTCAGTGCAGTAATTCTGAACAGCAAGTATCATCTGAGATGCCTGAAGCAGAAAATTCTGATGGGTCTGTTGGTCATCTCCAGCAAAGTCAGTCTTCTGCCTCTCAAGGCTTTAGTCTACAACTTGGCCCTCCATCTCAGCGGGTATCAGTTCAAAACCATTCTTTGTCATCTCAGAGTACCCAAGCAGCTAGCTCTTCACACTCTCGAGCTGCGGAGGAGATCGGAGAGAAAAGTCGGGGACGGATGTGCCCTCCTCATCAGGGTCAATCCTTGCCTCCTGCTGAACACTCTCTGGAAGAGTTGAAGAATAACAGATCTGGGGTTCCAGGAAGTACATATAATGAAACTTCTTCGTACACGATGCCTGGAAATTTTTCTGCAGCATTTGATTCTAGTTCTGGTTTTCCCTACCTGAGAAGCCCACATCAAAATCCACCTATGGTTAGAGCTACTGGGCAACTCTCAACAAATCAGTCTATAAGTGTATCTTTCAATAAACATGGTCCCCTTTCTGCTGAGAAAGGTGACTCTATCAGAGGACCTGAAAGTGGTCAATCTGTACAGCCTTCTGTGCCCGAAGGGGCTGGTGATGTTAAACAGGATAAACCTACTATCACTGCAGGTACATCTCAGTTAAGTAACGCCAATGATCCCCATGAAAGGCTCTTTGCAAATCAAGCTTCATCTAAGGAGCCTGGGTCAGTTTCTCAGCCTTACTCAATGTCTGGCATCGCTCAACAGGGTGCATCTTCAAAAATATTCGCTAATATGTGGACAAATTTTCCACCACGGCAGCCCCTTTTTGGTGCTCAATCCAACAAGGAGTCTTCTCAAATTCACCAGTCGCATCAATTGAGTATTATGGAGTCATCATTGTCTGCTGCTGAGAGGCAAGGCGATCAAGATGCAAATAAGGAATGGAAGTTCACATCTGAGCTTGACACAAGCACAGTGAATATTTTGGGCTCTGTTGAGGGGGAAGAACAGCGAGTGAAGGAAAGCCCTTCTCGACAAGTACCATTTCAAAACATTGAACCAGTTCAGATGAATGATTCACAGGATAGAGAACCTGTTGTCAAGAATCTCTCAGAAGGATCCCCTGCAAATTCTGCATCGATGCAGAGAGATATTGAAGCTTTTGGTCGATCTCTGAAACCAAATAACTTCCCTCATCAAAATTATTCCTTACTAAACCAAATGCAGGCCATGAAAAATGTGGAGACTGATCCAAGTGATAGGGCCTTGAAAAGAATGAGGCTATCAGACAGCAATACAGGTCTTCAGCAAATTCCTTCCACTGAATCTAGAATTTTAAGCTTCTCTGAGCAGGAATTTCAAAGAAGCTTATCATCACAACAAGGAGGAAAGATGCCTCCTCAGGATATACTTGCATATCGTCAGGATGATGCTCAGAGCAGATCTCACAACAATAGTACAAATCCATTTAAGCCTGAGCATACTCAGATTAGTCCTCAGATGGCACCGTCCTGGTTTAATCAGTATGGAACCTTCAAAAATGCGCAGATGTTACAGATGTATGAAGCACACAGAGCTGCCTCCATGAAGGCAACTGATCAACCTTTCACACTTGGAAAGNAAACCTTTCACCCTTGGGAAGTCTTCCAATGGTTTGCAGACACTTAATTCTATACAGAAAGTAATACCTGCAGATGCTGATAGAAGTCCGATTGGTAATCTTGGGCCAAGTTCAGCTGCTAGCTCTGCTGCAATTGAAGATTTTTCTTCTCCACAGACGTTGCCACTGAATGTTGGTCAAAACCAATTGTTGAAACCCAAGAAGCGGAAACGTGTTACATCTGAACTTATTCCTTGGTACAAAGAAGTTTTACTGGATTCACAGAGCAATCAGACAATCAGGTTCATATTTTGCACAACTTTTAATAAACTCCTTTGCTTGCATGCTGCTTTGCTGCTTTCTCAATGCTTTCTGCTATTCCATTTTGTTTTCATTTGGATTGTCTAAGTTCCAGCTTCAGGTTTGATGATATTTGTTAACTTGTCTATCTGCAGCTTGGCAGAAACAGAGTGGGCCAAATCAACTAATAGGCTTGTTGAAAAGGTATCTTGATTTGCCTATTGTAATCCACTTTTTAAAATTTTGCTTGCTTCATCAGTTCTGAATGCCCATGTTCTTTTAATAATAGGTTGAAGAAGACATTGACTTCACTGAACATGGGCCTCTGAGGCGTAAAGTTAAAAGAAGGCTTATTTTGACGACTCAGCTTATGCAGCAATTATTTCGCGCTCCATCAGCTGCATTTCTTTTTTCAGATGCTAACTCAGAGTATGAGAGTGTGGCTTACTCCATTTCTAGATTGGCATTGGGGGATGCATGCAGCATTGTCTCTTGCTCAAATGGGGATATAAATGCACCTCATTTTTGCAAAGCACCGTAAGTTTGCTAGTTGTTGCGTGAGATGTTTCAATCAGGTGTACAACTTTCTCTCTCTGTGCCCTAATAGCATGTTTTATGTATTTTCATAGGCTTCATGACAAGGCCAGAACACCGGAGAGAAATGATAACCATACGTTTGCCAAAGCTGTGGAAGAGTTCACGGCAAGAGCAAGGATACTGGAAGCTGACTTTTCGAGGTAATGCTTCATGATTGGCTTACACCATTACAATATATAAGTTTGTAGAATTGTACACTAGACCTCTTGTCATTTTGCCTTTGGGGGCTGGTGGGAGGGGAAGGAAACTTGTTGGAGCCCCCCCCNAGTTGAATAGGTTCAGGTTTTCTAATACAATGACTTCTCTGCGTTATACAAGATTATCAGATCTTTGGTTGCTTTGGGCTATTCCAGCATGTTTGTTCTCTTCTCTTTCTGGATTATTATCTTGAGCTGCATATCTTCTGCAAAGAAATGTCTCATTTTCTTATGACTCCTGTCCTTGTCCTATGAGTATTTTAGAATGTAGCCTGCCAAGTTACAGAGAAACTACATTTAATGCTAAATTTTAGTCATGGAACTGCAGACTTCAATTCTGTGATCAACCAAATGTGGTTTTATTGGGAAACTCGGGCATTGTTTGGATTCTTATATGGTCTTTTTGCTTCTGTTAGCACATTTTGGAATATTTGATGCTAAAGGTCTTTAATCACCATTCCCACTCTGAAAATACAAGGATAGAAGTGCTAAAGCCGAGTAAATGATCCAGAGAAAAGCAAGTAGTAATTGATTTGTTTCAGAAAAATTCAACACTGTTATAGTCTTTAACAGCTGCTCCATAATGGTTTTCTGTTAATTCCTCGGTGTCCATTTCATTTCTTATGTGTTACAGTTGTGTTTAGAATCTATCTTCTTTACTAAATCAGTTTGTACCTGACAATATACAAGGTAATTCCACATAATAATCTCTTTTATTCGTTCTTCTCTGATGCAGACTGGACAAGAGAGCATCAATATTAGACGTGATAGTGGAAGGCCAGGATATTGAGAAGTTCTCTGTCATCTATCGGTTTGCGAAGTTCCATGGTCGGGTGCAATCTGATGGTGTTGAGACCTCATCTTCATCAGATGCACGTAGCCATAAACCTTTGGCACAGAGATATGTCACTGCACTTCCAATGCCAAAAAATCTTCCTAGTATGGTACAGTGTCTTTCACTATGATTATAAATGAATTGATTTTCCCCATGTTCTGGTGGTAAATCTACTAGCTCTACTTCTCTAAGAAGTTTTGGTGCTAAATATGCACTGGCACTAGCAACAACAGAAATTGATGGGCACTGAATTGTCACCTCAAATGTAATGCAGGCTGTCCAATCTTTTACATGTTGGCCACTAATGTCTTCTCAAGAAATGTTATTCATTTTGTGTACATCTCTTCAAATTTGTAGGGCGGGAGAGAAAGGACCTGGGGCTTCATTTTTTGCCATCAGTAGAGAAAATACATCTCCCGTGTATTAGGAGACGTCTGTATATAGTTAGCCATCAGTGTTATATGTGTTATACTTTCTCTCACGGAATTGTGAAGGTAATCATAATTGCTTATTGTTACAAACAAATTTATCAACAAAAAAAATTGCACTAGTCAGGTCTGGGGTAATTCAGATTGGCATCATGAGGTAAATATCATGTCCAGGCTTTTCCCGAACTCCGAATCAGTTGAAGATTTACTAGAATTTGCTGTCTTGAGAATTTAATCAGCTGTCTCGTGAAAAAGGACGTTCTTAGTACAGCTTCATGATAATTAGCTCTCTTGTACAGACCTTATGAGTTACAACAACTTGGGATTTGGCTCAATCTTGGCTTCCTGAAATCCAAGATAACACTTAATCATAGATCACACATCTCACTATAAGTCTCCTGTTGTGCCTTTGTATCTCTTTCTAAACTCAGTTGTAATGATTTCCTCCAACTAGTTGTAGTACCTCTCTGCACCAAGCAAAAACCGAGAAATTGAAACTCATATGGATTATTCTGCCACTTGGAAAGAAGAAGCCTACCTTCTCTGCTCAAGAAAACAGGAATTACAGAACGGCAAAGGTCCAAATATATCTCTGTACTTTCAAAAATGATCTAAGAATACCCTTCATTATACTATTGGGTTATCTATACCCCTGCAGTCATACTTTGGGTTCAAATATACCTCTCATTTAAACGGAGGAACACGTGTCATCCTTCTGTTGGTCAATTCTAAATATCTCCTAATTAATTAAAAAGACCCATTACCCATATCCGAAAAGCAATTTTCTAAAGCAATTTTTTTTTGTAAAAACTGAAAAAACTGAATTAGTTTTTATTAAAAACTGAAAAAAGCGAAAATATTTTTTTTTCCAGGTTTTACAAAAAATATTGCTTTTAAAAAAACTGAAAAATATTTTCTAAAACAATGTTTTTGTAAAAATTGAAAAAAAAAAAAACTGAAAAGCAATTTTCTAAAGCAATATTTTTGTAAAAAACTGGAAAAAATTGAATGTTTTTTTTACTAAAAACTGAAAAAATCAAAAATAATTTTTTCCAGTTTTTAGAAAAATATTGCTTTAAAAAAAACTGAAAAATAATTTCTAAACCAATTTTTTTGTAAAAACTAAAAAACAAAAATTGAATAGCAATTTTTTAAAGCAATATTTTGTAAAAACTGAAAAAATAAATATTTTTTTTTTCCAGTTTTTAATTAAAAATTTTCAGTTTTTTCCAGTTTTTTTTCCACTTTTACAAAAACATTGTTTTAGAAAATATTTTTCAGTTTTTTTTTAAAGCAGTTTTTTTTTGTAAAAAATGTTAAAAAAATATTTTCGTTTTTTCAGTTTTTAGTAAAAAAAATTCAGTTTTTTTCCATTTTTTTTTTTAATTGCTTTAGAAAATTGCTTTTCGGGTATGGGTAGTGGATCTTTTTAATTAATTAGGAGATATTTAGAATTGGCCAACAGGACGATGACACGTGTCCTTCCGTTTAAACGAGAGGTATATTTGAACCCAAAGTATGACTACAGGGGTATAAATAACCTAATAGTATAACGAGGGATATTCTTAGACCATTTTGAAAAATACATAAGTATATTTGGACCTTTGCCGATTACAGAACTGCTAGCCTCTGTATATTTGCTTTCAATTCACAGATTTGGAAGTGCGTTATTTTGTCAAAAGCTTAATTATATAATCATATAGATAGATAGCATCATCTTGTCTGGTTTGCCATTCATCCGATAGTAGCTTCAACAAACAAATACTGTAATCAGCAATCACTATTCTTCTCCCCCACCCCCCAAGTTTATTGCCTGGAAGATAGGGCTAATACTGTAAGTTGATCTTCTTTAACTACTCTTGACCCAAATCATATTGACAGCTTTATTGAGAATTGAGATGAAAGGTGTTTGATATGGGTAAACATATTTTTCACAACTATTTTCAGAGAATAAGTCATTTTCCGAAAAATATCAGTCGAGATCTTAAAAGCTTGACATCATTCCTATCTCCTTGTTCCAATTTGGACGAGCATTAGAGTTGTTTTCTTGCCCTTATTGACCAAGAAGCTCTAAGAAAATAACTAGCACACGTACTTGTCCAGAGCCAAATCTACGATATTTATGCTAAAGAATTCTAGCATCAAATTGAAAAAGCTTTTAAGGGAAAGGTTAAGCGTAATTGCAAAATTAAATTGTGCTAAAATTATAGTAAAATGTAACTTCGAAACAACTACATTTAATAACAGAAAAGAGCCAAAGAAAGGCAATATGGAATGTTCACCACTAAATTAGCTTAACTGGTATCCAAAAACTAAGCTACATTTTAATGACATTTGAAAAGGTAAACATTATATTCAAGATAAACATCCAAGTTATTGAAAAATAATATTCATTAAAAAAAGATCAGGGCAAAAATGTCTTTAACATTCATCTATTGTGGGATAGGAGAGTTTTCAAGAGTTTTGGGGCCAGGTGCAATTCTTCCAAATATAAAGGGGTCAATTGATAATTACCCTTTAGTTTCCCAGATTTGGACTGATTAAATCCAAATCGAAAACACAGAGCACCGAAATACGCACAGAAGGAGAGAGATTAAAGCATGTCGTCACCGGCGAACGATCCAAGGCAACCGTCGACGGCAAAGCCGTACAAGCCGGCGGCGGTAGCTCCACAAGATCTTCCTATAGATTACTCTGGTTTTATAGCCGTGGTGTTTGGTGTCTTCGGTGCCATGTTCAGAGTGAGTCATTCCCCTTTAAAATTTGCATATTTTCAAATTTGTTACGATTTCATCTGATGTTATATTAATTGGCATAGCTTAATATATGGTGATATGTTTTAAACAGTACAAGATTTGCTCGTGGCTTGCGATAATATTCAGTGCTCAGTCACTTGCTAACATGAGGAACTTTGAGACTGATCTTAAGCAGATCTCCATGGCAATGATGTAAGTACTTAAAGTTTTTTCACGAGAAACTTAGATACGTCGTATAAGAATTGTTTAGACTTGCTTAAGTGTGTGCTTCTGATAACAAATCGACATTTCTTCATAAGTTTGACCTTCAATCAGCATTTGCTGTTTTTAATCATATCTCGTTTGATTATTGTTGTGCATGATTTTATGGTACTCCACCTTGATGTAACTTTATTGAACTTTTGACACAAATTTGTAGTTGCAAAGTCTCATTACTTCGTGAGTTCTCTTTGATTTGTATTAGGGCTTGTTTTCGTAACAATTTTAGCTCAATCGGAACTTATTTTCATTGAATGGCAATGGAAGGGTGCTGTCCAAAAATACATTTATTTGCAGGGTATATATCAACACATGAAAAGAAGGGAAAAACTCTAATCTCATTTGGTATGACTTTATCATAGAGCATGATGTCAAGATGAGGACTTTTTGTTTGATAAGGAAAAAAAAAGATTCCTTCTTATCTTGACATCATCTTTTATGATAACGTCATACCAAATAAGAAGGAATCTTCTTCCTTCAATGTAGTTTTTCGAGGATATTTAAACAAAAAAATAAAGTTAAAGGCCAAGTTATCGTCATAAATTACTATAGAGTATGTGTAGATGGTTTTAACTTTTATGTGGCCTCAGTTAGGGCTCTTGCTTAATATAGAAGATTCGTGTGGTCTATGTGCAAGGATGACAATCTAAAAAATAAATGGTCCTAACTTGTGCTGCTATTTGCATAATAATGTAACTTTAGGAATTTAGTGGAGTGAGAACCAAAAGCTTGAAAGGGAAGTGCTCTAGAGAAAGAATAGCTCCCTGGGCTTTGGTTCAAAGGCAAATATAGTAAAAAGCGGGGTGTGTGGTATGCACACTTCACGGAGTCATCGAGTTTTGAGCTAAAACGTTAAATTTCTCGATTAGTAAAAAAGGAACAACTGTAGTGAGTAGTGAAAAGGTTTAGGGTAAGTAGAATTAAGACAAAATATATGCAATGTAAGATCAGCTTCCATAAGAAGTGTAGTTAAAGTGAGATTAGATTGAACTCTGGTGTTGATGGATCAGATCTTCTGTCACAAGTCACAACCCAAACCAGGGGCAATCGTCAGTTCGTCACCCAACTAGCTTGGACTCGCCGAGTGAACCCTTAAACTTGTCGCCTTGGCTACACATAAAGCATATGTTGAGGTTCTAAGCGAATTCGTCATCGTGTGTTATATTTTGTCATCTAATTAAGTGGGATGTGGCTCGATAAATGATTAATAAAAATAAAAATGAACAAAGTCGACACTGATCAATCGTGGGACTCACCACTATGTAGTGGTTCTCAACTCGTGAACTGGACTTCGTTCAATATCAAACCTATAGCATGAAACTAAGTGGGGTGAGTATATAAAAACCCAGCAAGTCTCCTTGACCCCCTCTAAAAAGTTGGACAAGTATTTTAAAAATACATTCACTTTAATATCAATATCATGTTTCTCATGTAAATCAATAAAATCTCAAAATACTTATAAATACATGGTAAATCATTTAAAAGTTATTTTGAAATCCAATGTTGCCAGTAGGCATAAACAAAAATATTTCTTAATTCTATGGAGGTTCCATCTAGACACCGACAATCCATGTGCGCAACATGGATGCCACCATCCATGCGGTGGCTAGGTATAGCCTACCAACCATTCCAGTAGTTGGTCCGTCCACCTTATGTACAGTAGGGAAGGCAGGACATTTGTCGAGTCTAAAGATCTGGTCAAACATGCATTTACTTTCATACCTATACAGTGTGTTCTAGGTAACACCAAATATCATGGGGTGTATACCCACTCAGTCATCTAATTACGGTCCCTCAAAATATTCCTTTCTTTTTTCACATCACCAATCAAATTTGAGCATAACCTTCATAAGTGAACATATTAACATTTAGATTCCATTTCTCTCGTCCATAAATCATGAACATAAATCGTAATCATAACCATAAAAACATAATCATAACCTTCATTTAACGAATAATCATCTTTCAGCTTTATAATATGGTGATACTCATGCTCGTCTCCACGTGCATAAGCACACAAAACAATCTTTATAAGAATTAGTTATGCAATTAACAGTAAGAATATGCCTCTTTTGAGGGAAACACTCTTAAAAGGTTAGCTCTTCACCTTTC